ATTTCTCCTGAACTTAAATTTTATTAAAAACGTTGCTAATTTTTTAATTTTCGCACGAGTTGCGTTCTTAGGCAGTCGAAAACTTATCCYAATTGAACTAATACTAGCAACAAATCAAATTAATAATCGCAACTTGTATAAAAATTATCACGAACGAGACTTATACTTACTCTATATATATGTACATACAAAAGTAAGAAATATATGTATTCTGTATCTGTATATACTATATAATAGGTAACAGCTTATCGATGGGTAGAGGAGAAAGTTTATTTATAAATATTTACCATCTACTTCCTCTCTCGAAATTAAAACGATTAGGGTCATTCAATAAGTTACCACTCTTACTGACCTAACTAGACTGCAACTAGTCTGCCCGGACAGAATYCATTAAAGTAACTTGAAGCTCTTGTTATTCATGTTCATTGTAGAATTTTGTTATTTCTTTTAATTTTAGTAGATGTTTGTATACAATAYATTTTAGAGTATGTTCAGCATTCCTATAAAACCATTTGTAGTCGTAACAAAAGTGAATGCTGCCATTACATTTAGCTCAAGGTATCGCACTTTCCTCCCGCTACATTTCAACGAAAGTGCTATTTATGCACTCTATATACATTAGGGTGGATCGAAAGAAACGAAATTGTTTTTGTTTTTCTGACTTGTTGCTACGAAAAATTGGCTCTTGGACAGCTCATCAAATTTGAAGTTTACTGTCTGATATAAAGAAAAAATAGAAAGCTGTAAAGCGGAGAACCTTCTCTCTTACGCTTGAASAGCCTTTCTCAGAGCGCTCTCAGAAGCTATTTTTCAGACCACCACACGAAAAATAGTAGTGTTTTTGATCCACCCTATGTATCGTTTACATATATACAAATATACATTTTATATGCATATGTATGTACGATTGCATATATTTATGCGTCATTGGAGCTTGGCGTATTGTTCTGATCGCAAGGCTTTGTTTTTATTATACAATATGACATCGATGCTCGATATTGATAGTTGTCGGTGAAAAAAAAAACATTTCGTAGCTTTTATTATGCAACTCTAACAACCACAACAATTATAGCTAAAACATTATGCCCAGGGGGCGAGCGAGCGCGAATTCCAGCTGTTTGCGGTCTAAATGTAAGCGCTGCCACAACAATACACCACTGCCCATAGAAATGTATACCTCAACCCACACACACACGCACATACGCATACATGGCATAACTCGTCCTCGATATCTATTGTTGTTATTAATATTGCAATTCAATTTGCCTAATGGACTTCGACACTTTGCGGTCGGGCTGAGTCGCGCTGAAGCAACGCGCTCACACCAACGCAGTAATACACACACGGCTGTGGCGGCTTTGGCGGCTTTTGTTCACATTTTTATATTTTTATGTTTTTGTGATTTTATGTTGCGGCATGTTTGCGCATTTTTTAACGTTTTCCTGTCTTCTTTGTAATTAATGGCGCACATTTCGGAAAAATTACGAACTTTTTCCAATGCAARTGCTTTAACTGCTCGCTTTAGCTAGTTGCTGCTTACGGCGGTTGTCATGGCGCGCGGGAAGTGTACAATTAAACTACTATATATTGTATGATATAATATATATAAACACAGTTTTACATACAAATACCGATTATAAAAAGTATTATTAAGCTAATGACCAATTTTTGTTTGTCAGCAATTTTTATGGCCGAAGTGTGGCGCTGAATTTTTAATTACCAGCGCTCAATAGCATTACCAAGTTAACTACTTGTGACTACTCGTAACTGTACATATTTAGGCAATTGTCACACATGAGTTTGTGTGTGTGTGTTGAGCCGCTACGCCGTTGCTCATCTGAAATTCCAAACATTTAATTAATTAAGTGTATAATTTCGTTTTATGGCGTTTAATGCGCTATTTTACGCTAATGCTRCTGTTAATAATAAATTTAATTAATATTAGTTAATATTTACGCTTTTTCATTCTTTATTTCATTACAGGTCCGCTATCGGAGGTTCAAACAGCCGTGGGGCTGGAGGTGGCGCTGCCATGTGACCTATTGCCGGGCGCCATGACGGCTGATAAGGTGCAACTGGTCATCTGGTATCGGCAGGGCAACGTCAAGCCAATTTATACGTAAGTGCATTTAATAGTCATAAAACAGTTATTATATACACTAAATCTATACCATACTGTAAACATACTACTAAAGACGTTATACAGTTTTTTTGCGAAAACAAGATGTAACAGTATCTAACTCCTGAAAAAATTATTCGATGTACCCTATTTCATATTTCATTAGTAATGCGTTATATATTCCTTGTAGCTACTTATATTTTCTTTAAAAATCCTTGCCTACATTTTAGCGCAAAAAAAATATACTAAAGCATTGCCTACATATTGGCGCGTAAGAAAATGCTCACCTACTACAATATACCGAAAATAGAAATATCATAAGAGCAAACACAAACAAACCCAAATATTAAATATCATAACTTTTCCATTTCTAAAGCTCTCAACTATACATAGTGCCAAAAAGTACCCGGAAATTGTAAATAAAATGCAACATATTTAAGTATTCATCAATATTTAYTTTKTCRCCTWCMAAGYAGTCCTAACCAGATAAAATACAATTCTTCTTCTTTACTGGCGTAKACACCGTTTATGCGATTATAGTCGACTTATGTCGTGTTTTCAGTCCTCGAAACACTTTTCAAAAGCATGGGATAGCCTTCAGGGTTTATCRATGGTATTCCTGGCTTTTTGGCTTTAAATTTGGTCATAATCATACTCTTTTTGAAARAAATTCAGCTTTTYCGGWACGAGTAGAGTATAGGAAAGGCAAGAGCCCATTTCATACCCAAAATATCCACCAATAGTAATACAAAATTTGAGACTTTTTGCTCAATATCTTCATTAAATTTAAATTAAATTTCGGGGTACTTTTTGTCACCTTTTACCATCACCACCTTTGGCCATCTTTCGGGCAAGGGAATGATTTTTTCAACCTTGAATGCAAAAAACTATTCCAAGTGGTTTTGATGTCCTGATTTGAAGTGAGGGTTCTGCCATAAAAAAAATTTTGCGGAAACTGGAGCATATAATAGGTTGAAAATGCCGATACTATGGTATTTAATACAGTAAGCGTGGTCAGCATTAAAAAGGGAATATATGTAATATCAGAAAATTAAATGTAATATAACCTGTTTATTGGTTACCGAGCCATTAAGTCRTGTTCGACAAATACGCTTTTAATATGTCAGTGTTTCAGTTTGATCAAAAACACAAGCCTACGTGTCGTTTAAGACATCCGTCATTCTAGACCACCTTTGACCACTTCAACAGATGAAAGACGTCAAAATCGTCAGCCAAGTGTTAGAAAGATGATGATGATGATGATAAGAAAGCTCGACATCTCTCGGGAATCCGATCGAATGATATTGGTGGATATTTTAGGTCTCTCTTGTACATGTTACATAGTTTTCCTTGCCTTCCTTGAACTAAATTTTTTACCACTTTGATAGAAAAATAGCAGAACATGCCGAAAATTATGTTTCGTCCATCTTCGATAGGACGCCAAACAAGAAAAATTTCAAAAAAAAAGGTATGTCAGCTGTTCAAATATGTATATAACGTTAATGCGATTAGATGCGAGTTGGCTGCGGAAAAATTTCATTAAGATCAGCTACTGCCATGAAACAAAGTTACCTAGTGAAGGAGCAGTATTAAGTGCCCCAAATATGACTTATTAAGACAAARAGTACATAYACAAATACAAAAATAATAAAYAAATATAAGGCAGCCAAAATATTTCTAGTAAATTCAATTTATTCCCAAATATTGACACGTTCGACCAAAATATTTGTAATCACTTGAAGGCGGCCAGCTGGTCTTATTAAGTCCCAGACGTAGTAAATCGAMATAAATTGGCACTTTAGAAAGCAATAAATCAAAGGAATGCACAAAATACAAATGAGCAAGGGCCGCTGCACCCTTTTGTGTATTAAAAGCACAAATATGGATCATAAATCGGAGGATCGTTGCTGCGTTCGGTGCCTTTATGGGCGCATGTCAAGACAAATTAAACCGCAAAGCCAAATGTACTTAAATGCAAATGTACGCACACACACACATACACATTACATAAATCTAAACAAATTGGAATGATGAATGTGCAACGCATTTAATGCTCGAATTGCATACAAATGACGTGTGACTGGCAACATTCTAAAATGGGGCAACATTAAGAATTGACTTTACAAATATTTTTTATTTTACTTTTTCCACTGAAAATTATCAATGCCTCGCTTTCATGGCTAGGAGGTTGTAAAATTTAATGTGATTCAGGAAAAGTATTTTAATGCGCCAACCAGCGCTGCAGGGGAGTGTCAGTGAGTGCAACAGCAGCGTAGCGCTGCAGGGATTAAGGCGCGCACTCAGCGACTAGCAGCTAGCGGCTAGCAGCTGGCAACTGCACATGAATGCGCGCTTTTATGGGCGAATGCAGGGCAAAGTGYTAAATAACGGAATTATGCTTACAAGGCAATTAATAAATATTTCTGGCTACTTACGCATAACACTTTGTGCGTGAAACAGCGCATACGTACGCGGACCGTGCACTTGTGGCAAGCCATTGCGCGCACGTTTGCCTAGCCATATGCTAGTGGTGAAATCAAATCGTATGCGTTCTTTGATTATGCTTGACACTTGGCCGGGTCCAGCCGTTATTGGCGCTCATAAAAGTTGATGACTTGTTGCTAACGGTCTACCAATGATGCCCAACCAGCTACGCACCATAAATGCAAACGTCAKCAAGTGCAGCGCAGCAAATGCAAGCCAAGCGAACGCGCACGTCCACGCCAACATTTTTGATTTGGGGTCACGCCGCTTATGCGCTCTGACTGTTTGATGCATTTTTTGATGACTTAGTTTAAGAGCGCGCGGGTCAGCACRKCAGCTGATAAGCGCGRARARCCAATAAAAGCACAGAAAGYGCTTGAGAGAAAAATAACGCAATAAAARCGTTAGCGCTTGCCGCACAGGTCGCGCGGCGGAAATTCGTAAGTTCACCRCGCTCGCTGTGCTTCCTTCCGGCTGGCATGCTGCTACTTTTTTACGATCAACTGCATTTATTTTATTTTAAGTGCTTTGTCTKCCCACACTTAATTCGATTTGGTGCTAGAAAGAAAAATAAAAACGCGTGTCCGTTTTGTCCGCCGCGCCGCTGTGGCATTCCTTTTCGGTGTTTTCTATGTGTGTATGTATCTGTGTGCGTGTGCGTGTGCTACATAAAACTGGCATTTAAATTACCGCAGCCCACCAGCGTATAACAACAACAACAACACAGTGGTGGCTAGCGCTTTGCAATGTTGGCGACCGTTTGATTTTCGGACCGCCCAATACCGTTATTTATTTAGTTATTTGCCGCATTGGTGTTGCCCAAAGTAATTTGTTTTCCAGCCTATAAATCATTTCAAGTGTATGATCGACCCAACGGCAAGAGCAACAAGAACACCAACAACCTCAAGCACACTACAAACACCAACCATACCAAAAGCAGCACAGTTCAAAGTGCCACCAAAACAATAACAAATACAACGCATGTTAATCGTTATTGGTTAAGTTATTTATTCTTTTGTGTCCTTACCGGCGTTGTTGCTTTTGTTTTTTATGCCACGAAATTTATTTGTATTGTAGTTTTGAGAGTTTCAAACGCTTTTGTGCGCTGRAAAAATGCTAGCGAACAAAGGCCGCAGCTGCTCACACTTCAATACATTTCTCTAATGGCCGTGTTTCTTTAGCAAGATTTTTCTTGTTCTTCGCCTTACAAAAAAGGTCACGAAGCGGCAGAACTTTGCATAGCACTTTGTGCACATATTTTACACGCCCAAAACAGTAAATGAATGTTTGCGCCCGAAAATGCGACCAAGACAAAGAGTATGTCTTAGTGTGTATGTGTGTGTTGTCCGTTGGAATGAACCAGCGGCTGCGATTCTACTCCCAAGTGTCCAATAAGAATCGAAAATATCGCGTAAGAAGTGGCCACTTGGGGGCCGCTATTRGAGAATGGGACATGCTGTTGGTGGAAATCGCGTAGGGCTTATAAATTACAACAAACTAAATTACAAAAGTAAAACAGTTCAGGTTTTCAGAGAAAATAATATATTATTATACAATTAGATGTAGAGCTATTTAATAAATAAAAATAATAGTTGCTTAGAGTGATCATTTACTATGTCTAGCATACATTTGAGCGCGAGCAGATTATTAGAGGTTAGCATACATTTAAGCGCGAAGCGGTTTGTAGGTTAAGGTGGAAAAATGGATTCCAAAAAAAAATAGAAATGCATAGCCTAAAAAATATGCTTCAAACTAAACGAAAAATATTGGTCAGTGAACACTGGTGGCTTGCCGGGAACAGAACTCAGTTAAAATGTAGWACAGATTGTCAAAAAATTAGGCTTTCACCTCTGAATCGAAACAAAATTATCAGCATTGTACGGCGCTAATTTTTGCTTTAAGTCTACGGTAAAGTTAAAAAAAAAATTTCATTGAGTTATGCGTCATGCCCSTAGCCATGATTTCCATTTTTCTACACGGTCCGGTTGCCACAAGACTTAAACGGTTATTACTTTGGAAATAATTTGAAATAAAAAAAGTTTTAGACAGTTTTTTAATATCTAAACTATCGCGTTACAAAAACAAAAAAAAAAACTATTTACAAAAATATGAATTTTTTTTTTTCCAAATTTCTAGACCATATTAGCCCCTTAAAGCTTACAGAGGCTTCACAGGGCAACTCTCACAAGTCGCCAAAACACTTCATAGGCCATACTTCTTCTTACCATTTCTCTCTTAAATTTTGGGATAAGCCATTGAAAAACGCAAGAGTTTTAATAAAGTATAATTTTTTCATGTTCAACTTAATCGTCTTACAAATCGATAGATGGCGCTGCTGCTGATATATTTATAAATATCGCTTACAAATTCTCTGTATTACATTTTTATAGAAATTGACTTAACCTCGAAAACAAATATATATTATATTCTTTGGGGACAATTTTTTTGAAATAATATTAAATATTGGGAAGTGGAAAAAGTATTTTCGTATTTTGTCAAAAGATGTTGTTGCGGTT